CCCCGGCCCTGGCTCCCAGCACACAGCATGTCGTCCTGGATAACATTGCCATAGTGCTGCCGACAGATCTCATCTGCCACGATGGGGACCTCCGCCTCCTGCAGATTTTTGGGCTCTTGCAGTGGCTCTGTGAGAAGAAGCCTAATGAGCCTGTGGTCCTGAGGGGGTGTACAGTCACAGGCCGCGGGTTCTAGAACCACACGCTGAGCCTCAGTGCCCCCAGGGGGACCCAGGGAGTCACCCAAGACCCCAACTGTCTGCGTTCACTCGCCAATGGGCTGATAATCTCTAGGCTGACACTGTGGGCACCAAGCTCCAAAAAGAAACAGGAAAATATATTTTTTATCCACAAATAATTTTTATTGGGAAAAATCAGAGCAAGTGCTTTCCCCAAGAAATGCAGAGTGAGCGGCCCTACTGTCAAATTTGACTTGGTCCATTTAATAGTGAATCCTTGAGCTCGTCACTGAAGTTCTCTCTCCTCGTTCTCCATCCCACTATTGAGACTCAGGGAGAACGGGGACCCCCGGAAGGGGAGACACAGGGTCTGGAGCAGAGTGAGGGAGAGAAATGCCCATGTGTTTCCAGTGGTGAGAACACTGGTCCGAAGGGTCCCAGGTGTGATACTTGGTCAAGGGCAAGTACCTGGGTTGCAGGTTCAATCCCCAGCCCCAGTCGGGAAGGAGTTAACAGATAAGTCTCTCACATCAATGTTTCCTATCGCTCTCCCTTCCACTCTCTCTAAATATCAATAGAAAAAATATCACTGGGTGATATTTAAAAAAATAAGATGCCCATGGCCATGCCCCACTCTTGCTACTTTGGTTTTCTCTCCTTAACAGACTCCTCTCAAGGTGTCGGCCTCCTATACCCAAGTGGGATCCTTGATAGACTCCTCTCGAGCTGTCTGCCTCCTACAGCCAAGGGAGGCCCCGGGGGGACCCATTACAGACCCCAACTTAAACTGAATCTGTAAGGTCCGGCCCGCCCCCTGCATCGCCCGGGTGTCATCCTGGTTCTGGTTCTTACTTTGAAAGTCAGTGTCGCCCCAGCCAGTCACCCAGCACCGTGTGCCTGGGGGGAATGCGGAGGAGGCTGGTGCGAGGCGGATCCAGTTGATGCGCTTAGATGGTCGCACGGGGGCCTCCAGTTTGAGAAGTGCCACGTCCGCCCCACCTTGGGCTCCTTTCTCAAGGTTGTACTCGTGGTGGCGGATGATCCTAGCCACCTGCACTCTGCCCTGGTGTGAGGGTCTCATTTGTCCTAGTTGGACCTTAATGTGCCGTGTCACTGGGTTTCTCCTGGGGACAGAAGGGCAAAGGATTCTGAGAGGCTGTGGCAGGGAGTGGGCCAGCCCCTCAGAGCCCAGCGACCTCCCCTCTGTGGTGGGCAAGGGGAGCGCCAGGAAGCTGAATCCTGGTGGGGGGTCAGCAGCCACTCAGCCCAGGATCTGCCCCCAACACACACACAAGCCTCCGGACATTGTCCACCCCAACCCCACCCCCCACAGAGCAGGGACTTACCCTGGAATGCAGTGGGCAGCGGTCAGCACCCACTGGGGATGGATGAGGGAGCCCCCACAATTGAGATTCCACTCAGAATATCTTGGATCGAAGACCCACAGGCCCACCTGCCACGGCCACGCCCCAAC